TCCTGAAACATGGCTGCAAGCAATTCGTTTGGACAAATTTCACCAAATCAATATTACATTAATCAGTAAAATAATAATAACAAAATAAATCCCAAATTAAAGACATTCCAAATAATGAATCTACCTTATCCTCAAAAAAAAAAAAAAAAATAATGAATCTACCTACCATGCCAATTATAGAACTTGTATTATTATGAAAAATTAATTCTCAAATGTACTATTTTTCTTTCACGGTGGTGTAGTAATTACTCTTATTACAGGTCCAATTCTATTTATGGGAACCGAAATATTGCCTGAAACATTCAATCACTAATTCATGTTCTTCAAATTTTTAAATTAATTTCTCACCAAATTCTTTAACTGTATTGAAATTATTAGATAGTTCAATAATATTCACTATTTTCAGATCGACCGATCTCCTTTCTGCCTAATATCAGTGCCTCGAATTTGATTATGTAGAACTTCATGCGCTACCAGTTATTCTAAAATTAATTGATATCAAGAGAGACGTATATTCTAGTAGACAATTGCACTAAAATACAGATTACGAATTCCGATGTAAGTTTGAAAGTTGAATAATAGCCTAAAGATTCCAATACTTTAAGCGGGGTTTTATTAAAGTCTCCTTATTTTGATTAAATTGCACGAGATTAATTCATTAATAACTAACTAGTTATTCAGTTAGGAAGATGTTCGATTCCTTGTATTGGGTCTAGTATTGAAATTATTAAAATTAAGGTATTAAATGCGAATTGTCAATAACAACTATAGTTTAATTATAACAAACTAATTATACTATTTTGCAGACAAAAAAACATCTTTTATTTCTTCTATATAATACCTACAAAATTAATTGTAGAGATAGGGCAATAAGTAATTTTACTATATAATAGCATTAAAATTAGTTGCGATTTTCAAATTTTAAAGCGGGCTAGAGTTAGTTTGAATTTACCGATCTAACATATACTATTTAGACAATAAAACTTAATTGCGACAATCAAACGATACCTAAGAGGTTTTTAGTGATCAAGAACTTAATTATTATATACTATTATGGTGATAACTTTTTAAAGTATGATTATGTCTACTATTTTTGAAAACAATTTATATTCTTGTTTTGCTAGTTGCAAATCTTGATAAATATCAAATTATTTTTTCATGAGCATCACTTGAAAATTAACTCCACCTAAATAATCATCATCATCAAATCCTAAACTATATTATATTAAAATATATATATATATAGTAATATTATAACTTTGCCGACACATATCACAATGTTTAAACATAGGATGGGCAGAGTCAATATTTTATATTAAAATATTTAAACATAAAATATGGGGGTGTTTAA